AAAAGAAAAGAAAAGAAAACCCACCACCAACAAACTAAAAGATTAGACCTGCTTATCGCTCTTTCTGTGCAGATTCTATTCCCAAGTTCATCTTACAACCACAAAAGGCGAGTCTCGGGAAGTCTGCACATGACGCCACTGCTCTCTGAGAGATCGACAACTTGGGGGATTGCAGGCGAGTTGACAGCGCTACTTCTGCCCAACCGAGGATAGATAGATACAAAAAACGCGGCGCGTCGGGAGGGTGGTCGCAGATACCACCGCCTCTCCTTACCGTCCCTCCCACCTCATCCTCAGTCGCTTCACTAATTCCCGCTTGGCTCGACGCTCCTTATTTTCTAAGCCTACAGCTCGCACCTTAAGAGAAACCTAACGCCGAAAACCGTAAGGCCACCGGACAAGCAAGCAGGAACCCCAACCACTATTTCAACCTGCAGAATCCATAGCAACCGACAGCGGCTCTCCACCTCTAGCCCCACCCCTTCCGCTCGGGATTGCTTCCGCTTCCAGTCGGCTCACAGCACTGGTGTAAGGCGCTTTGCATTGTGGGAACTCCTTCTCTTCTCGCTCCCCGGCCATCTTGGCGGCTGCTTTTGGTAAGTGGGCTCCCCGATGCGGAGATTTGGGGAGTGCGAGAAGCCCTGTAGGCTGTTGTTCGCAGCTCCGGATGCTAAACCACCTGCCCTGTCCTCTGTGTTCTAGGCTGGGGTCCGTCGCACACCTACGGCAGGAAGATGGTGGCCGCAAAGAAGACGGTGAGTGAGGCAGCCAGGCCGGAAGCCGGTTCACGTGGAGCGATGGGTCTAGCCCGGGCGGGTAGATCTGGGCACACACTGGGGTGACTTCATGGCCACTGGCGTGTGGAGGGTCTTAGAGGGAATCTCAGAGGTCTTCAGTAGTTTCGGAGGTTTTATACTCGGTTCCAGGAGGCTGGGTGTGGTTTGGAGGTGGTTGCATATGAGTCCTTCATTTTTGTGTTAAACGTTTGCTTTGTAGAAAAAATCTCTGGAGTCCATCAACTCTAGACTCCAACTTGTTATGAAAAGTGGAAAATACGTGCTGGGTTACAAGCAGACACTGAAGATGATCAGACAGGGGAAAGGGAAATTGGTCATCCTCGCCAACAACTGCCCGGCTTTGAGGTAATGGACAGAACCCGGGCGTGCGTCGCTGGTTGCCAATTAATTGTGAAGGGGTGTCAAAAAGTGCAAACTTGTAGTCTTTGTAGCATGAGTTTTATTTTATGTTGAACTTGTTCTCCAAGGGACCCTTGGGAGAATGATTACTGTTGGTAGGGTGTTTGGCTGTTGATTCCTTCCCTTGTCATGTGCTCTTCTGTAAGCTTATCTTTGGGGGAAAATGTAAGACCTGGGTTGAACAGGAGGATTAAAAACCACAGAACCTCCAAGTTTGAGGCAAACACAGACGCATAATTTGTCCATGTATTTTGTGTCTTGCAATTTTTGATGGGTTTTTTTAGCTTAAAGAAACTTTAAAGGTGCTTTTCTGTGTGCATTTACTTTAGTGTGCAAATCCAAGTAAGAAAGCTTCAGGCTGGGCTATGAAGTTGCATGGGTGTCATTGAATCACCTGATTTGGTGCCATGTGTCAATTCTCTGAGTTAAAGTTTATTACTACTTGTTTTTAAGTTTTTATTTTCAGACAAGGTAGGGTCTTACTAAATTGCTTAGGCTGGGCTCAAACTTGTGATCCTCCTGCTTCAGCCTCCAGAGTGGGATTATAGGCATATGCTTAGGTCAAGGTTTATTCTTGACTTACTATTTTGAGGTGTTGTGTTGTTTTTTTTTTTTTTTGGTACCGGGGATCAAACTCAGGTCCTTGCGCTTTCAAGGCAGGCAGCAGAACCACCGAGCTAAATCCCCAGCCCAGACTTACTATTTTGAATTTGAACCTAGTAGACATATTGTTAATGAGCTAAAGAAACTTGGAGCATGTGAACCATGTGATGGGTTCTTTATTCTTTGGATTTCCTATGACAATGTATAACCTACTCAGAATTTTATATAGGCTGTCTCTACTTACCAGCAGTCCCTGACCTGTTTTTGTTATAATTCCAAACCATTCTTAAAGGGTTTTTTTTTTTTTTTT